TACATATATATATATATATATATATATATATATATATGTGTGTGTGTATGCGAATTAAAATTTTAATCTAAATTAATATTGATTGTTCAAATTTTTAAAACGATTATAAAAAAAATTTCTATAATATATTCATAATTTCAATTGATTCCTTGCAATATATTATAATTTATATAGAGTTTATCATATAAAAATTATGGCGGCCCCAATTCTTAGCGCTAATCCATTTCGCACACTAATATAAAAAAATTTATTTAAAATATTTTTAAATATTTTAATCTTATATTAATCCAAATAATGTTTGTTATAAATTTTATCCGCTGAATTAGTATATGCGGAATGTGAATGAAACCGAAAAAGATTTTTTAGACCAAAGCATTTTTAGTCTGTGATATATAATATGAGAGATATATTACTTATATTAATATGAGAGAATGTGTGTGAGAAGGATTTAAGTTTTTTTGTGGAAACGATTTCTTGACGTGAGGAAATGTTTTCGGCCGTCTCCTTCGTAGAAGGAAATTGAGATTGATGATCTGTTTAAAAGATCGTAAAATAAAAATAATAACTTGAACAATGTTACATTTCTTAATAAAAAAAAAAAGAAAAGAAAAAAGAAAAAAAGAAAGAAAAGGAAAAAGAAAAGAGAAAAAAAGTTGGAGTAAAAAATTATGGTGAAAAATTTGGCAATTTAATTTAATAAAATTTATAATTTTTTAATATTTTTTAATAATTAAAAAAGACAATTTTTTTGTATGACTTCCTTCCGAGTTTAATATTATATCCATTATAATATTAATATTATATTACATATGTTATAACATTATTATTATTATTATATCTATTAATATATTTGCAAAATATAAAATAAGTTATTTTATATTAACTATCAGATATATTATTTTGATCAATTTTTAGTATGATCTTTATGATAAAACAAAAAAAAAACAATACTGCCTTAGAAATGATTAATATTCTATGAATAAAATTTTTTAGATCATATATAGAAATGAAATTTATATCTTCATGAAATTTTTAAAATGAAACCCAATTTTGCATGATTTTTTATAACATATAATTTTATGTAGCTATGTAGTTACTTGTAAGATTAATATTTTTGTTAGTAATTGGTTAAAATTTCTTAATGAAAAATAAGTTATTATTACGAATGATCAGACGTTATTGCATAGAAAAAAAAAAGAGATAGTTTTGACGGTACATCTATTAAAAATATCATATTAAAAACAAAATTAAAAAACCGATAAAGATTTATATACTATAATAATTTTAATTATTCTGCAATATTTGAAAACATTTGAAAACTTATTATGTATATATGTGTAAACGATATAACTATATAAAGTAGATGCGTAAATAAATATATAAAACTATACAAATCTATTCATTATAACAAGTAGCACACAGAATTGAATAAAAGAAGTATGTGGTCTACTAAAAGTATGATTTCTATTATACAGAATAACCCTAAAATAAAATTCTTAATGTAATATAAATTATCATCATATTTTTTTAAATAATATAATGATAAATGACAAATCTTCTACTACACAACACAAATATTTACTTAAGAAAAATTATTACAAATTTTATTTGTTTTATACTTTATATATTATTATCATTTTTTGATCAAATTTTAGACCATCATTTAATATGATATTACATAAATAATCATTTCAATAAATATCATGTAACAAATTTGTTAATAATTTCAGCTTATGTATTAAATATGATCCACTAAAATACACTATTACCATGACATCAGTTTTAATTGTTTTTGGAATGTTTGAATTTGCCGTAAAAGTCCGGCTAAACGAAGTGAAGTAGGTTCCCTTGCAATAATACTATTTCCTCTTTTATGAAGAGATTTATGTTGAAAACTTGATCCATTAGGTTTAGTTGATGTAAATGGAACAGTTGTATATAATTTATCTGAACCCAATGGAATTTCAGTTGATATACAAACATAGCTATTCTTTTTTTGTAACAATCTCATTTGATGTTTCAATGCCATTACCTAAGATTAACAAGTAAAGCAATTATAATAAATTTTCAACTTGTGAATTATTAAAAATATTATAATTAGATCATAAAATATAATAATTTAAATATAATAAAATATCATAATTTAAGAATTATTTTACCTCTTTATATAAATTAACAACAGCATTTATTTCAGCTTCTTTAATACTTAATTCTTTCTCTAAATGTAATATTTCTTCTTCTAACTCTTTATCACTGTATTTTTTTGCTTTTGTTTGTAATCTTTCATATCTCCTATATAATTGATTAAAAAATATTTAATTAATACATAGATTATGTAATTTTATATTTTTGCAGAAATTAGTTTAAGTTACGTGTTCATTTCTTCAAATTGGTCATGAAGATTAATAAGAACTTCTTGTATTCCTTTTGAATCTTGAGAATGATTAACTATTGTGGTATTGGAATTGTGTTTATCACATATACTACCCTATAATTTGTTTTAAATTAATATTCTCAAACAATCTATTACTTTGCAAGATTTCACCTGATAAATTTTTGACTGTATCTCTGGATTTTCCATTTTAGAATTTACATTTTGATGAGAAGCAAACAATTTTAACATTTTATTATCTGTTGCATGTAATATCTGTGCTGTATTTAATGTATTTAATTGATTTTCTGATTTAGTATCCTGAAAATAGACATGACTTTTATATTTTGAAATAAAATATGAATTTTTTTTAGTGATATTGCTTTGAATTTTTCAATAAACAAACCTTTTTTTTTATGAAGGTTTTCATATTTATTTATATCGCCATTAATTTTTTGTTGTATATTTTGATATTGTTCAAGACTTGATTTTATATTTACATTTAAATTTACATTACTTACTCCTTTCAAAAACATATTTTCATTTTCTAATAAGTGTTCACCTTTACCCATAAATAAATTTTCTTTTTGTAGATGTGCATTCATTTGAGAATTCATTTGAGAATTCATATGAGATAGTTTACTCTGTTGATCGTTTATTTGTTCTATAAGAATAGATGCAGGTTTCATACCTCTGCTAATTTTACGAATAAGAAGAGGAGTAATTCCAGTCGTAGCAGTTTGTCTTGTTTTCATTATACTTAAAACCTTTTAAATAAAGAAAAGTTATAATAATAAATACAGCTCATTTTTATATTTAATAACATACTTGTTGTATATTTAAACCTAAATTATGACTTGGGGTTACAGAAGTACCCACTACGAAAGGTATATTTCGAAAATTGAATCTACTGAAATATGATCGATTTGCTCTTTTCAATTTTGAAGCTAAAGTTGGCATTTCATAATTATGAGTAATTAT